TGGAACACAAATGCAATGATTCCCCCTCCTTCCACAGAATTTCCCTTGCTAGGGCACTCAGATCCAGCTCCAGCTATCCCTCTGGCACTTGAAGGCTCAGCATGGGAAGTGAAATGGAGGTGGAGGAGACTGTTGTGCTGGTGCTGCTACTTGTTGTCATGGTGGGGGTGGGGGTGGGTTATGGCTGGTGCTCTTGGAGGGGATGCAGACTCAGGCACAGGCAATGGCACTGGCACTGCTCCCCTCTCCTTGCTGCCTGTACTAGTGGAAGCCTCATGCCTGCTTGTTGTAGCAAAGAGGCTGTGTCATAGTTTGGCAGGGGAGGGAACTTACACCTTTCCCTCTACCCCCTCTCCCACCCCTCCCTGAAGGCTTGCCAGCTGCCTTTCCAGCATGCTTCATGGTGTGTTTCACAGTGTCCTGTCTTTATAAAAATATATAAATGTATATGTGCCTTCCTATATAAATTCTATAGTATAATATGCAATATAATTATGAAATTGAAAAGAATAAATCAATTAATATAATAATAAAGTAAAAGGGTCTAGAAAGAAAGCAAAAGGTATTGCGGAATCCCACTTGCTAGGCTAGCAAGTAGGAAATCAAACCAATGGTAGTAGTAGTCTTTGTTGTCTAACGCTCCTGAGCTTCTGGAAGATAGCTCAGTAACTGACAAGGCAGAAATCCGGGCAGTTCAAACAATGTTGCCTTTTATGCTGTTTTTCCATCCTTCTCCCAGAGCACTGGGATTGGAAGGGACCTCAGGGAAGGATCACAGTCACTGGCCTGCTACACAGTCAATGTCAGAGCAGTACCCCCCTCTCTTCCTCCTCCCTCTCCTTACTTTCTGTTTCCCTGCAGGCAAGCCCAGCTTGAGCTTCGAATCTCAGAATGTTTCAAAACTTTCAAAACATTTTGACTGCCCTCATTTTGTTTTGAGGCTGTTTCAAAGCCCTTCGTTTTGTTTTGATTTTGCTGTTTCAAGCTTGAAATGAGTCAAAACAGCACTGAAATAAAACAGCCGGTGAAATTTCACAGAGCCCTAATTCAAAGGGCATTATGATGATCTAATCTGACCTTTTATATAACACAGATTGAAGATTCACCTGTCGCAGGGCACTAAGGTGTCTGCTCCTTTAAGGGCAGAAACTGCCTAGGGAGCGGGCCATAGGAGCCAGGCAGGAACCCCACAGGTGCAGGTTACTGTGGCAGCAGGCTAATGAGGGAATTAGCCTGCACCCACACCCAGTCAGCTGACAGGAGGAAGGCAGGGCCCTGGGCCTATATAAGCCCCAGGGCTAGGACTGAAGGCAATTAGGGCCCTGGCAGCTGCCAGGGGGAATGGAGTTCATGCAGAAAAGCTCCATGGAGATACCTGGGTGCCTGTGCTCCTGCTGGTGAGACTAATGAGGTTTAGGAGCTCCTAACGTATCCGGAGCTAGGAGGCACGCATTGTTGAGGGAGAAAATGGCCCTCTTAAAGGGACAGAGTGTGACCTCCAGTGTTATGGTTGCTGTTATGTTATAGCCCAGGGGCTCATATTTATGTTGTTGCTTTTAATCCAGTGTAGTGAGCTGAGGCTATTGGGGAGGAGGAGACCTCATTGGGGCACATTACTGTGTAGAGCCCCAGCACCAGAGGGCACAGCAACAGGGCTGCAGAGAGCCCAGTGCCAGTGAGGGCGTGCAGACAGGCCTGCGGAGAAGCCAGCACCAGTGAGGGCATGTAGACAGGGGCCAAGGGCCCAGTGACGACAGAAGGCCAAGCTAGATCAAGGCCTCAGAGGGACAACACTTGAATACCACCTACGAGGCATGGGGCGAGGTAAAGGGACAGTTTTGGAACCATGTGTATAGCCCGTAAGGCTTGGAGTGTCCCGCGAGGCACTTACTTAGAAAGAGACCCAGCAAGGGATCTAAGAACCACATGGTTTAGTGAGGTCCACCAGGACCTTGACTGCATAGCAACTTGAGGGCAGCCTCCCTATCTACCATCTATTATCTTAACCGTCAAGATGTGGCAGGAGAGAATAGAAGGTGCCCATAGGGCAAAGCTGACATGGTCACTGGGTCTTAGGGGCATCACGGCCATCCCTAGGGACCCCACCCCATGACACCACCTTATTACTCCTGCACTGAGTTTAATGTTCAGCTAAAACATATATTCCAAAGGGGCATCCAATCTTTATTTGAGTCACTTCTGATGTGGAGCTTGCAAGACTTCAAGAAATGGAGAATCTACCTGTCCACTGTGTTAATAATCTGTGGTACTGGAAACTGCTATTTTAAGTGGTTTATTTTTTGAAAGGTGTAGCAAAAGTCCATGATCTGTTATACAGATACAACTGGAACTGAACTTGGAATAAAGAATCTCTCTCAAGCCCCTTGGGATCAGAGAAGTTCTTGAACACCACACACTATTTGGAGTAAATGAAATAACCTGAGCAGAAAAGGACACCTAAAAGATTTAGCAGACCTAATACACATTTGAAATGGGGAACCCAGCTGGAAGGGATACTTCATCTTTATCTGCAAGCAATAGATAACTGAGAAAAAAAGTCAGAATGTTGCCTTATACTGACAATATCTATCTGACAATAGCAGGTTATGAGGCACTTGATCTGCAAACAGTGTTCCATTAACTCAGGCAGAGGAGACTATTTGTGAAACTTTATCATAAAATATTGTGGAGAAATGCCCTCCACATAAACATGAAATATAAGGAAGAG